AAACTAGAATCAACAATTAAGTGATTTTTTAGATTTTCATAAGAATTTTAATTGTTTTTCAACAATTATTGTTAAAAAATATTAAATTATGTGAAGAAACCTTTATATTATCATTTTTACATTAAACATTTTAATACATCATATACATAGTTAGAAATGAGTATATATAGATATTCAAATTAAAAAGTGCTCATATAGCACATAGGTGGAAAAATTGAAAGTCACAGTGCGAGACTTGAACCCACTAAAACCACCTCTTAGGAATGAATATGGAAGATTGCAGCCGCGTGCAGCGGATACAACCCCATTTCAGTAATCAAGAGATTGAGAATAGAGCAAGAGGCTTAATACCCAGTAGACTAGGCTCATCTAAACCAGAAAGCATGGGCGTAAAGCAGTAAAATTGGATATGAGTTAAAGAGCGGGGTAGTATATTTATGAAATTTATGTGGTTCGCAAAAGCATTATTTTTAACTAACCGATTGAGAATTTTTACTTACTAATTTGTTTTCGATATAATCAGTTAAAGTATTTAAATGAATTAAAACAGAACTATTATCACAAGGAAGAATAATAGTACTTGTCCAGTATATAAGTGTGATAAGGGTACTATATCTAAATTTTAAACAACTATAATAAGACATCGGAAAGAACTTTATTTAGTCAATGAAATGACCGAAGAAAAAACTTTTTATTGATAAAATTAACTTTCAATTTCATTATTTTTTTATTAAATCTTCTAATTAAAAAACATACTTTTATTTATAATGGTAAATATATTTTTATATAAGTCAATGACATGAAATTATAAATATTAATGCCGTGAAATACCTATAATCAGAAATCAGTTTAAGGTCATTTTTTGAACTCAAAAATGAAGTGTTATTAAAATATTTTTAGTATCTATAAGTAAACCCTTTTTGAGATAATTTTAATAAAATGTTTTTTGACTTAAATTAATACAGAAGTAGGTAAATATTATAAGACGTCAAAGATCGGCACCAGACGCCCACAAAATACGTTACAAAGTCATTACAAGTCAAGAACATGAACAAAGTTTAAACAAATTATTTAAGCACCAATTAACGTGTAAGTGCTAAATTATTTTGATCTCAGGGCGCTACATTTTTGAATGGTAGTATCGTTTTAGCCAACAACTTTCAAAATTGTACACAGTAGCAGTAGAGTCAGTCATTCACATATCTGTAAATAATTATTACAAGATAATCATAAGATTATCTAGGGGCGCTATATTTTTACCAGTGTTGTATCTCAACAACTGCTTGAATTTTATAAAATTGAGGGTTATGGCAGTAGTAATTATAGCAGATTACTTTGTATATAACATTTCGAAGCCACAAATAAAATTTTTAATTTCATAATGTGAATAATTAGTACGATATATTTATTCCAATTAAATATTTTTTAATACCAAAAATGGTTTTATTCACACAATTATAATATTCAAAATTTTTGTAGTATTTGAGCAAAATTATATTGTATTCTGATACCACTTCTAACATAGAACGATAGACAGACAAACCTTTTTCCGTATGAAACTACTATTCATCTATTATATTGTCATATACAGGGTGCATACTGTGTGACAATCATTACCAACAAATATTTATAAATTATTTAATTGCACAGAAATTTTATGGTTTAGCGTGAAAAATTGCTTTTTAATGAAATTTTATTAGATTTGGCATGCGTCGAAAACCACAATAATACAATTGAATTACGGGAAAGTACAAACGAACGCTTGGAAAAAAGGAAAGTCATGTATGAGAAATGGAGAAAGGTGAAAATTATTTAGTTGAACAAATGCTAGTAGCGGATTCTACATACATAAGGTAATTTTTGTGCATATAAATACTCTACCATATATTGATCAATGATACCTTTGAATCATTATATTTGCAGTAAATAGCTATACCATTTCTCTTTAAGGTTGCCTTTATCTAACATTCAACCTATGTTCTTAATATTAAGTATCATAGACCTATTTTCACATTATCAATAAAAACTACTATATGTAGAGGGATTTGGAATTATCATGAAACTAGTCTGACATTTCCAATTAAAACAAGGACGAACACTGTTCTATTGACAATTAACCTACACTCAAATCTAAAATCTATCGTACTATTGCGTCCATAATGTTGGATTATTATAAATGTTGGTTAAATAGTATCGAAATACACAAATATTTAACTTTTCAATAGTTTCCTGGCAATGTCAGCCTATTAATCAAAGTAATGTCGACGAAAAACTCTTAAGAACGAGATTCAATACTTTTTGTCATGTCAAAAATTAATATAAACTAAATATAACAGAGTTTATTTCGAAATTATTACTAAAGAACTAAATTATAAAGCCAACAATCAAAGGCATAATTTGACTAGTTATCACTTCACTAGTTTTATTTTTTAACATAGGTCTACAACTTTGTATTCCCAGCGAATTCGGTTCTAGGCAGCAATTACTGCTTCGTTCCATATTGTTTTAATCCTAGAGAAAAACATAGATGCTTAATTTCAAATATAAACTATCAAATATTAAACTATTTTTTTAAAAACAGAAAGAAGTTTAAAGATGATTACATATTTTCGAAAATCACAATGTGAGATTTGAACCCACAGATGTGAGTCCCCTCCACTGCACTCATTCTACCTGCTGTACGTTCATAACTTCTGGCTTAGATAAAGCTAGTCCGCTAGGTATTAAAACTCTCGTTCACATCTCTCTCCCCTATTTACTGGAATGAAGTTCCCACATTACTGTGGAAATCTTCTGCACTCATTCTACTTGCTCTACGTTCATAACTTCTGGCTTTGATAAAGCTAGTTCGCTAGGTATTAAACCTCTCATTCACATCTCTCTCTCCTATTTACTGGAATGAAGTTTCCACATTACTGTGGAAATCTTCTCCATTTATTCCTAAGATGTGGTTTAAATGGGTTCAAGATTCACATGATATATTTTTAAGAACTTTTCTAATATGTATTTAGGAGGACTCATAAAAGCAAAAGATTGTGGCGTATAAGAAATTAGTATAATGAAATATGAATAGAAATATCTACTGCAGCAGTATTGATAAATTTAAAACCTACCATATATCCAAATATGTAGTATATCCAAATATATATGAAGAGATCATTCATGCAACTGTTGAGGTGCAAATTAACATGTTGTTTGTATAGTTATGCTATAATTTGACTTGATTTAAGAGTGTAAATGCAGTATTACTTTTGATGCAAATGATTAATAGTAACTATGATTTCCATGAGGTCGCAGAAATTGGCAAGACAAGTATCCAAAACACTAAATCGATTCAAAAGAAGGAAAAAAATATTAACTATGACAAACTATATATTTTAAAACGATATATACTACAAAATGAAAGAATATAGACAACATTTAATAAAATGTCGCCCTTGAGTCAGATTATATTAAAACTCCGCCACTGCCTATTTAAACACCAAAATATCATCAATTAATCAATAAAACTAATAGTTTTGTGCAATTTCTGCTGCTGCATTCGAAGGCAATTATTTTGTAACAAAATAAAAATAAAAAATTTAAATAAGAAAGTAACTCTGTAGAAAGTTGTAGACGCCCCGCTTTCTGCTTTCGTACCTTCCATACTTACTACTCATTCTTCCTTTGTTGACTTCCTTTCACCAAAAAATTTGCACAGCTGCAACATTTGTTGTATTAATTTTCATCGCACAATAAAAGAAAAAGGATATTTGTGTTGACCACAAATGTAGGCACGACACACAAAAACGGTACAACACAGCAGAAATTACACACAGGATTTGGAACCACAACCAATGACTAAAGTAAGTCCTGTTAATATATCCCTTACCCACTCGCATGCAGAGACCGAAAATGTCGATACAAATATCGACGCTGGTATTTTCATTGAAAAACCACAAAATGTGTGAGGATACAAGGATACTTAAAGCGCCGCGTGTTTGGATTACCGGAAGCTATCATATGAATTAGCCATTGTGCCGACTGCTGCTCCTGTGTACTCTGCTCTGGCACTGATGTGCTTTGTTGGCTTTTATTTAACATGACGCAACATAAATTTCTTGGATCAATGCAATGCATGGACTTAAAATAAAGAAGTAGAAATATTTATTTACGGTGGAATTGATTTTATGCTTGTTATCCTTGTTAAGAAATGGAAAGATTTAGAAAAATGTGGCAAAAATTCGTGACTTGACATATGTGAACATTTATCTTAAATCAGATATATTCTTGATATAGTCTTGTGTGGATTTAGGTGGGGTGCATGATGATCTATGGTTTTTTCTCCTGAAAATTCGTTTAATTTAGTTAAATGTTTCACTTTGCAGGATTTTTTAAATATACCATATGATTGATTAAAAAATAATTATCTTATTTATTGTTATATCTATAATATTATTTAAGAAACATATATTACTTTTAAGATTCAACCGAATTAAACTGGCAACCGATTGTAAAACATTTACCAATATTCCTAGAATATATCTTATTTAAATTATAGAAGGGTTTGAACTGTAATGAAGACGCAACAACAAAATTTTGATTTAAATTAATAAAAATTTGGCTGCCTTTACAACGCTGTATCGAGTATTGCCAAGTAATCATCATCAGTGTTCATAGGAATTATTCAAATTTTTATTTAATTAGTTTATAGTCCTTATATAATTAATTAAATAAAAATTCGAATTTTTCCAAAGAACACTGATGATAAGTACTTGACAATACTCGAAACAGCGTTGTATGGTTAGCTAAACTTCAATAAATTAAATCAAATTTTTGTTGATGTTTCTTCATTACTTTTTGAAGGCTTCTAGTTTCTTTTTGGCATAAAACGAGTCAAAAAAAAAATGTACCTTTATTTAGATTATATATAGATTAAGATAGATTATTATTTATTAATTATTATTTATTATATTTATTTCGATTAATTTTTTTTTTCTATTTATTTAGTTGATGTCGCGCCTTTTTTTTCCGAGTAAGTGCATCTGGGCATTTTACTCTTTGATAGCTGTTGGGTTTCTGCACAGTACCACCCATCTCACTGTTTAATTTGTGTATTCCTCATAAGCTTTGTGATTATTCAATGACTTATCTAAGATCTGCGTTAGATTATAATAGTGATCTTAGAAATATGTATATATTGCCGTATAAAACTCAGTACTTAGAACCATTTCGATCCTTTAATATCATTCGTTTACATCGTAAGATATTTAACTATTAATATTGCACATTTTTTCTTAAAAAATATGTTAATAACTATATGTCTCTTTTAACTTCACATTCATCTTAAAGTTCTTACACATTATTATAATAACACAATTCCAAAGCTTTTTGAAATTGGACAACTGTTTCCGTATCGTATATGTCAGCAATACCGATTTTATACTCACAATTATATCCATACTTAGTTAAATACTTCTCACAGCAATTATTCAAAGCTATTGAATAATGAGTGGATACAAATCTTGATTGCAGCGGTATTTCAAGTCGATATTTTTTTATTATACCAATCACCCAAGCGTCATCTATCCAAAAGAATGGCGTCTCTGCTGCTTCTCCAACTAAACGTTTTGCAGTTAACGCATTGGTTACATAACAATACCCTGATATATAGTATGGATAGATGCTAGATGAAAATTCCTCCGGTGGAGCAAGCCATTTCGAACCAAGATAACGTATTGGTTGACTTGCAACAATAATAACACCCGATAGTAGACGATTTGATGTGCTCAGTTTCAATTCATGTTCCAATAACGTCTTTAAGTAGCTTTGTAGATAGTAAACATCGTAAATGATGTCCTCATCGAGTTTTATAATGAATTTTGCTCTTCTACATTCATTGCTCGCCCACCGCAAACCCATAACGTGCTTATATGTCAAATTATGATATGTGTCATAAAAGTTTCCCTGTAACAAGTCACCAAAACGATGTTGTTCATGTTGTAGTACTGATTTGCTCACCGGAATTTCATTGGGGGGAGTATCGCCAAGCAAGAATATGCGTTGAAAACCCAATTCAGCTAATTTACATTGTGGTAAAGCATTACGATGTGCCATACGTAATTTGTTATGCTTTACAAGTGAAGTCACGATAAGAATTCCTTTTAAAATGGAAAAGATATGTTATCATCTAATATATATTTAAGTGCTCACTAATAGTGTCGTCAGTTGGTAGATCTGGATTTAATCAAGATTTGCTGTCAATCTGTTATTAATCTATTATTAACCAAATCTCACTTTTTCAAGTCATTTTAAACAGCTCTTCCTTTTAGAGTAATCTTTCTACCCTTACTTTTTAGTGGTATACAGATTTACCAACTAAAAATCAAAATTGCACTAAAATTGAGTCCCGATTAAAAAAGTTACCCCCAGACTCACCAATCGAAAACTGCATTATACTCACCGAGCAAAGGCTTTTCGTATTCGTAATTCTGACATTGCTCCGTTTTAAGTAAATACTTAAAATTGGTAATATTCAGTAATTGATTTATATTATAATCGATTACTATATCATAGTGATCAATATCAGGTGGTCTGAAACGTACAATACTAAGAAGACAAGTAAAGAAAAAAATTGTCAAAAATAGAAATTTTTGATGTAAAACTCTTCGAAATATATGGGGAAAAGCCATTTTAGAATTTAATTGAACAAACACAAATTTTACAAAAATCTAAATGCTTATTTGATTTAATTAATTAAAAATATTTTTTTAAAATATTTCTTCTATTATATTATAACAAACTAATTTATAATTTTAACATATTTTAGAATAAAAACAAAGTTGAGAGCTATCAAGCGTAACACTCTCTTCTTCCTCTAGTGCACTTTAAATCGGGTAATGAAAATTTGACAGAGGACTACATGGTCAAAAGCCTATGTCAATATCTATTTAAAGTAGTAAATGGCCAAAGTACAGATAAGAAACATGACAGCTTTAAAAGTCACATACCGACAACATCACATAGTATATGGGATATGTATAAAGTAAGAACCTAACAGCTTGCTTAGATTTTAAATCTAATGGACTGCGTCCATTGATGTACTATTGCATTCTATCTTATAGTATTGCAATAGTGCAATATTATACGGTGTTTACACTAGAGTTTAAACTTTAATCTAGTCCGATCAAAAAAATGATTTACAATTTTAGAAGTATTTTTACAGTTTGGGTAGGGTCTACGTATTTAAGTGGGATGAGTATAATCAATAAAAAAAATTTTTTAATTACCATTTGGACAAATGGACAAGGATAAATTTTAGCATATGAGATCTATTGTGCTCCAGAGAAGGAAATAAAAGTACGGAAAATGTGACCACACTAAATTTCAAATTTAGATCATTTAGACTAAGCAGATTGTTACAATATCGTAACTCATCGAAGACTCATCGAAATGCTTTTTATGAACATCTTGTGAAAATGACACATTGCAAACAGATCGGCTGATTGATTCAGTGATGCATGTCCATGTGTGTGGAAAACGTCACATTTATTGTAGATATCGGCAAATATTTTCTTTATCGGTTAAATTCTTCTAACCAGGCTAAAGGAATGTTAGAGATGACCATTGTTTTGCTGAATATATTTAACCTATATTAAATCAAAACTGATCCAGTCGATGTTGGTGTCAATAGAAACATCTCAGTATATATCAGAGTTTCTGGTATACAAAGAATTTTTCTATTATGATATTTTGTAATTTGTTTCTATCGCATAGATTTTATTCCCAAAAAATTCGGCCAAAGTTGGCCCGATGACTTGCTTGTGGATTAGCATTATAAATAGCAATTAAATAAGTTGCCGTTCTTAATAGTACCATGAGTAACAAAATATATATTCAAAAAATTTTCTTTGCATCGTGCCCATTTTTGAATTTATTAAATGGCAATTTTTAATAATATTTTCTTTTCTCACAATATATAGTTATCTATATCTATATTTATCTATCTAAATTTTATAGTTAAATGTCATAATTATAACACATTTCCAAGGCACTTTGAAAATTGACTAGAGTATCAAATTTATTTATATTGAACATACCTAATTTTGAGTAGCAATTATATCCATGTTTAACTAATTTGGTGTCACAACAGTCAAGAAAAACATCCGAATTATAAGCCCATGCAAATAGTCCTTGTACTAATATTTCTAGTCTATGTCGTATAATTCCAGTAACCCAAACGTTATCTATCCAAAAATATGAGGCTTTTGCAGCTTCATGTGCTAAACGGGCTGCTGTCAAGGGATTAGTTACATAGAAACCACCCGAAAGATAATATGGATAGATGTCTGCGGTAAATTCTTCTGGTTTAGCATACCATTCCACCTTCGGATCTCGTAACGGCTTGTTGGCAACTATTACTAAACCGGACAGAAATTGATTTGATGTGGCTAGACTAAATTCATTTTCTAATAATGCATTCAAATAGTTTTGTACAAAGTAAATATCGTAAATGACATTATCATTAACTTTTATTATAAATTTAGCCATTCTGCATTCATGACTTGCCCAACGTAAGCCCATTATGTGTTTGTAACTCGAATTGCGGTTTACATCGAAGAAGTTTCCCTGCAATAAATCACCGAAACGACTTTGTTCATGAACTAACATTGGTTGATTTATCGATTCTTGTGTTGGTGGAATATCCCCAATTAAAAATATGCGCTGAAAACCCAATTCCCCAAGTCGGCATTGAGGCAAAGCATATCGATGTGCCATACGAATTTCATGGTGTTGCACAGGAGAAATCACCACAAAAATTCCTACAAATGTGTTCTAGATTATGAACGTATATATAGTTGGGTATCTCTGCGATCTATGCAATTAATAGAGTACTTACCGAGCAATGGCCTTTTGTATTTGCGGCATTGTTCCGTTTTCAATAAATACTTAAAATTTGTCAAATTTAGTAACGAACTTACGTGATAATCACTTACCAATTTAGAATTGTTATTATCATCCAATTGAAAGTGTGAAATGCTAAAGAAACCTATGCAACCAATAAATATCAAAAATAAAAATTTTTTGAAAAGATGTGGAAAAGCCATATTAACAAATAACTCAACAATTTTTAAATTTTGTTTTAATAAATATTCAAATGCTTACTTGATTTAAGATCACAAATTAATTATCTACTTAATATATAGATAAATAAAAGTAAACTGGGTACTAGCTCCCAACAGAGCAGAGCACTGCGACCAGATTGATCTTTTGTGCTGCTAATATATAGATAATTCTTCTACAAATAGGACAGCATTTGTCCTGTCAGCTTCAAATTGACTAAAACTTTTTTTTTAACCTGATGTAATAAAAATGCAAATTCCTTCACCCCATGAGCATCTTCTATGAACACAATTTACCGAGATACCTACAAGTCTGTAAAAGAGTAGCCCACATACCCTTACCAATATTATAAATAAAGAACATTCTTAATTTTTTATAATTCTTAGAAGACAATAAATGAGACAACGGATACCTAAAATTTTCGGTTGTCCGATTTCTCTCATTATACGTTCGGTTGTCTATGCTTGAAGTCATCGTCAGATAAAATTTATTTACCAAGGAGAACATAATATGGTGTTCTCTGTTGGATAGCATAATTGAGTAAATTTGATCTAATAAAATCCAAAAAAAGTCAAACTCCAATAAAATTGAAATTGTTCAGAATAACCAGTTAAAAAGAAACAACTAAACTCTTTCTGTTCAAATGCCTAAATATTGTAAAATTGAAACATTATTCCAGTACAAGGCTCTACGAACTAAAAAGACTGGTGGACATCTTAAACATAAATCTTCAAGAAATAATCTAACTTATCTAGAAGGTCATTTTTACAACCTTGATTTCTATAGCCGCTATTTTTATACTAAGGAAAACTGTGTTACAATTGAAACCAGCCACCTAATAACTTAGTTAAAATTTCTAAACATAGATCTATGCGGTTTATGGTCATGTTAATGGGGGCTATGCGATACTTTTACAGAAAATGAAAATACGTTTCAACTAAAATCAATCAACCAACTAATTAATATAAAATCCCAACCATCGATCTTCAAAAAAAAAAAAAAATTCTTTACGCGGTCAGTTGGTTTTAAAAATTAGATTTTTATGCTCGGTATAAACGGCGCCGAGGCGCTACTTTGATACAAGAAGAAAAAGAAACAATTTAGTAATAATATCGAGATCAAAAATACTTTGAAAATGTAACTAAACCGTTACAATATATACCTTAATAGACATGTAAGTCAACAAAATCATATAGAAGCCAAGAGAATATAGTAATCATTTTCATAAATCCATTAAATCAATCTAATATTATGAAATCCTGTTATGGGGTAATATGATTGCTACTAACATCGAAATAGTTCAGAGTATATAGTTAACAATTACCATATGAGATCGATTACGGAATCTTATGTTATGGAAAATGGAATAAATTATGTTAAATTTATTAGATAAGATAAGATATTTATCAAATACTAAACTGATAAATAAAATAATTTGTTTATATTCAGTTACCCTCAAATCCAATATTAACTTTATTAAGAATGAGCTGTTAATTTTGGTTAGGAAATTATAAGAAACTTGATAAGAAGCATTTTATATACAGTGGTCTTTATATGGTCTTTAAAATTTTAAGAAACCAAAAAAATCACTTTTACTTTATACGAGTATACTATCTACACCTATCTCAAATATTAGCACAAACTGTAACAGATTTAAATATAGAGACCACCTCATCTAGTACAAATACAATATAAAAATTGAAAAATTAAACATGTCTCTACCTTAATTCCGGTTAAGTGAAATTCTTGAAATACTTCATATTAAATTATGGACACTTACGGTTTATCGTAAATAAAACTGATAACCGAAAACTTAAATTCACTTGAATTGTTGACATATCATAAAAAAGAAATCAAAAATGCCGAAGATGTCGTTGATAAAATTTACAGAAAAAGTTCACCCGGCAGCCAGTAGAGGTGAATGGAACACCATGCAAAGCGACTGAGGTATGTAGGCAAATATACGATTATATAGACTTGTACTTAAATATTTAAACTAATTAACACATTTAACATAACAAAACGTTTAAATGAAAATTAAATATAAAACAATTTTTTGTTATTCATAGCATCGGAATTTAATGCCTTAAATGCCTTAAATTCCAACGTTCCCGCATTCCGGCATTCCCGCATTCCGAATTATGGCCGCAATCAGCATATGGCGTCGTGCCGTGAAACAATTATGAAACTCGTTAATCTCTCCAACATTGGTTTATGTGGAAACCTATCAGAGTTCTTGAACAAAAAAGAAGTCATAAAATATTTTTAATTATTCTATCAGGCGATTTAATGAGGTAATTGTGCTCTTATCAGTATCAATGTTGCAACATTGTTAGATTTTTATTGATCAAAAATAAATTAACAAGAATTTTATTGTCTATAAATAAAATTTTGGTATTAACTGGAAATATTCAAACTATATAATTTCTATAAAGATATTTTAATATTCTATCAGTTTTTTCTAATCAATTTCCCCAAAGTAAAAATTCTAAATATCAACGAAATTTCATTATAATTTCTTACTAATTTTAAAGTAAATGACGACTTCATGGTTTAATAGGAAATATTTCATACACTTTCAAATGAATTTTAGTTGGTCAAATATGTCGTCATGCTGGCATAGAGTTCAAAAAGCAATCAAAATTTTTTTCGCTTTAACCTTGATACCAAGGTCCAAATCATAAATACCGAGCGATCATCGACCGTCCAAACAATTACATATAATGGTAGATTATTGTCCACTTTGGATTATTTTTGTAAAATATCCTGGACTTATTCTATTATATTTTTGGCATTTTTCCAAATTGAAATGACTTCTTAATGGAATAAACAACTTGGCAAGTAATTTATATTTCACATTATTGAGTAATAACCACTATGGTACAGAATATTAATTTGATTTATTTATTCTGTATCCTTTATAAAATTTCGTTTAAAAGGTATAATAAATAATTTTTTTCGAATAAGTTTTTACTGGCCTAATTTATACTCATACTGCCAGTCCACTGCTTCAAAACTCTATTCAAAATTTCCAAAATCACGGTAGATGTTAGCTTTAGTCTTATAATTGCTGTCCAAAACACCAATAAAGAGCGACAATCAACCATCCAAAACATGGTAAATGATGGTTGATTATTCTCCAGGTTTGGAGTGTTTTTGCAAAATAATCTGGAACGTTTTCTAGTACAATTTAGGCGTTCTATTAAATTGTTTTGGCTATTTGATGGATAATCAATTTGACAAAAATTTCATATATAACGTCATCACGTTATAAATTAAATATTGAATTTCAGAATATTAATTTAATTTATTTATTCTGCGTTCTTCACAATATTTGATAGAAAAGGTGTAATAAATTTATTAAGATTTTTATACTGGTTTGAAATGATGTGATATCTTATATACGAACAAGAATAAAAGTACTTTATCTTTGAATCCTTCAACAAGTGAATGAAACATGAATGTGAATTTGCGAAATATTCACCCATGCACAAGAAAGGTTTTGAACATTCTTGAACACTCTCATACTCTTTAGTGTTATACCAAGGCCTACAAAACTTCATATACTAAGAACTCAAACTGATTTCATCTCGAACAGAAACATTCTTCCTTGATAATACTGTGCTTAAATATATATAAGTTAAATAAAAATGAAATTTAAAAAAATGTCAGCTAACAGCACCAAAAAAAGAAACGAAAAACAGCAATCAGAATAAAACAAAACAGAGAACAATATAAAATCATTTCACAAAAAATTTCAATAGAAACCTTAATGAATCTTTTCTTCATGAACCTTTTCGATATTATTATAATTTGAAGTTACAATAGAACTATCTCCATAAACCAAATATTTCCATTGTAACATATTTTCATTAAATTTTGAAGACATAGACTTAATTAAGTTTAGTATCACGATACAGACACATGTTTTTTTTTTATATATTGCGATAGGTGGAAAGTATCAACAGTCACCGTGTGAGACTGGAACCCACTAAAGCTATCTCTTAGAAACGAGTTGAGAGGATTTCATATATAAATAAAATATTTCCGTTGTATTTGTAATGCATTTTCATTGAATTCTGAAGACACAGATATAAATTTAGTATCACGATACAGATACATGATTTTTTTATATTTCGCGATAGGTATAAAGCATCAACAGTCACAGTGTCAGCCTTGAACCCACTATGTCTACCTCTCTCAGTTGAGAGGATCTCAGCCGTCAGACTGTGGCAGACATCTAGCTGAGGCCGCATTCCAGTAATCAAGAGTTAAAAATATATAACATCTTATATATAACTGGATTTTTTATGACCACAATACACTTACTGATATTAAATTCAATGTCAATGAAAATTATAATTTATAAATATAACCACATTATATCGTAAGCAAAAACAAAAACTTTACTGATTTTAGGGAATATTTTCTTAACAAGGTAATATTAACAAGTTAATTTAATTATTTTTTTTTAATTTTGATTAAACAACATATTAACTATTTTTACTTCAATGAGCGGGAAAATCCAATTCAACCTTTTGCAAGCACATTAATGTATTTCAAGAATGAACTTCCTGAGATATCACAATAAATTGATTATTCAAAGAAAATAAATAAATTTTAACTTTAAATTTAAATTAATCACAGTTCCAATTCAATTATTTATATAAATATTTATTTTTATTCATACATAAGTGAGCTTTACTTGCACTAACTTATATAGTAACTGATCAAAGTGCAGAAA